GTTAACGTTTACCTTTCGGTTTAAGGTAAAAGGACGACGTACGTCCTCCTAACGAGGAACCGTACACGAGACGACCTACTTACGGTAAGGTAACCGTACGCTCTCTCTCTCTCTCTCTCTCTCTCTCTCTCTCTCTACCTTCAAACCGTCCTCCCCTATCTCCTTTTTTTGAAATGTTGACGCTAAATTTGTATTACTATACCAAAACTTATAGCATACAGGGCCCACACAATAGAAAAGAAACCAAAATTACAACAGAACCAACCAACCAAATTTGTGGAACCGAGCTCAAAAACTTGCTATGTGGGTTCCGCTGTTGCGGCCTATAAAAGCTCCTTTTTTGTGAGTGCATCCACTATAGAGTTGGCCTTGTGCCATGCATGTCGATAACAGACTTGAATATGCCTGAAAAGGAAAGAAATGTGCTAAAAGATGAGCTCGAGGTGCCAAGGGCAGATAGAGTCCCCTGCGACAGTTTTTCGAGTCCCCTACAACCAAGTATTTGCCCCAATAGCGATTGTATTTCTTGATACCTTCCAATGATGCCAGCATGCCTGCGGAGGTCGAATCAGCAGTGCCGATGCGACCGAGGTACAAGAGGGGTGTTACATTTGTGGTCTCTGAATAGGTCTCCAAAGCCTGTGAGGCCTAAAAGCAACGTCAAAATTCAGTTTTATCTGAGATGAGGATGTCGAGATGGATGAGTGGTGGTAAGACACGAAAGGATAGAATACAAAATGAAATATCCAAGGGGAACTTAGGGTAGGCTCCAATAGGTGATAAGATAAGGAAAAATAGACTTAGGTGGTCTAGCCATGCGCAGCGTCAACCTAGAATAGCACCGGTTAGGAGGAGTGAGTTGGTTCAACTGGAAGGTTTTAAAAGGGAAAAATAGGAAAAAATAAGACCCAAAAGGGTACGGATGGAAGTAGTTAGAATAGATACAGTGACTTATGGTCTGACTGAGAATATGGCCCTTCATAGAGCGAATGATGGTGATAATAATGATCTAATTGACCTCCAGCAGTATCTAAAGGGAGGATCGCGGGACAGAAGCAGGCATAGGAGCCAAGATGTTTTACCAGTCATTAAGAAGTCAGCGATCGAACTGCCTTTGAGGTTTTTAAGGTTTTGGGCCCAAGGGATCACCATGGCATTGATGCAGTCAATTAGAGTATTGGGGTTGGTCTCCCTACCCTTCAATATTCTTGCATCTCTCTCGGTCCAAAGAGTCCAAATGGTTGAAGCCATGGAAGCGCACCACATAAAATTGCCAGCTGCTGGCAAAGGAGGCGAGTTGAAAGCTTGGAAGAGCTTGAAGGATTGAATGGGGAACCACCCAATGCAACCCAAAAGTTTGACGCAACTAAAGTCTAGAGTAGTGTAGCTACCTCACAAAATAGAAACAGGTGGGCATTGGGTTTTGCGGCTGACTCGCACATGGGGCACCTATTTGGAATGGGTAACCCTCTGCATTGCAACAAATCCACTGTGAGGACCTTCATGAGGTATCGATCTAGCAAAAGGTTTGGATCTCCGGTGGGATTGGGTTGCGATCTAGACCCGAAGAGGGGAGTAAAGTATTTTGGAGAATAGCTGGAAAAGAGGTAAAGGCAGTAAGTTTGTGGCCCGAGTGGTCTTCTGAAGTTAGGGCTCCAAACTCTGATTTCTCTCATCAACTCAAAAGATTGGTCTATGGTGGTCTCTGGATTTACTACCAAGAAGAGAAAGGGGTATTTAACTTGTAAGCTAGTACTACTAATCCAGGTATCACACCAAAATTTGACCATCCTCCCTCCTTAGCACTAAAGCTAATATTAGGCTTGACGTGACAAGGCTGGTCAAGATGGGCCACCAAGCCCAAGGAGGTCAAGTGAAGGTTTGGGAACGAGGGAGCTAAGTAGAGGGTCAATGTGGTATTTTTACCTTAAGATAGATTTCCATAGGTCGGATCGAGTTAAGAACCATCAACACTACTTCCCCAGCAAGGCTAGATTGGCCAGCCTGAGGCTTTGAATTCCAAGATCCCCTACTATATCTGGTAGGGTCATAGTATTCCAGGAAATCCAAGTGGAAGTGGTGCCTATCTTCCCCTCCTAACCATAGGAAGTCCCTCATGAGTTTTTATAAACTATGAGCTGTAATGTCGGTGTGCTACGAAGGGGGGGACATCTCATACACCAGGAGATTGGAGAGGGTGGCCTTGATGAGGGTGATTCGACTAGCTAAATAGAGAAATCTCCCCTTCTAAGTCGCAAGATTGCAATTGAACCTTTCAACAATGGGGGCCCCTTATTGCTTGTTGGGTTTGCCGGTGCTAAGGGGTAGGCCAAGGTATTTAGCGGGTAGGTTGTCGTTACTGCAGCCGAATGCTCTAGCTAGGGATATGATGGATTGGTGGGTGGGGGCAATCCCAATGAGTTTGGGCAATGTTCAAACCGTGCACTGATCCCACTTTCCTTCCCGCTACATGTAAGGCCGTCAACCAGCCACCATAGCCTGCCCACATCCCAAGCACCCAATCTCTACATCTGGTAGGCTCATCTTCGCATGGACAAGATCGACTCTATAGTAAACCCCTAATACCCATGTCAATGGTTACCAGTGAGTCACCGGTTCGACCTTCAGATCATCAGCCAGCTAGCCCTCTCATTTCACGAAGTCCCAGACCACCATCATCTGCAACGGCCAATCCTCATTCACCTAATCTCTCTCATCCTAATCTAGCCCCATCATTTCCCAAAACCCCCCATAATACCTCCCCCCCCCTTCCCCCTAACCTAACTGGCTTCACATCACACCTGACAACCCCCATTCCCCCAGACATTATCACCTCCCCTCGAGCCCTGACCACGCCTTTCCTTCATCCTCCCGAGATGGGCATGCATGCTTGGCACCAATCCCTAGAAGAGCCTACCAGGGCAATCGTCCCACAAGACCAAATCAGGGATGCACTCCACCTATCCTGAGAAAAGCCCACTAAGTCAATAGTCCTACAGGACCAAAATGGTGGCATACTCCACATTCTCTTTGCCAACATTCCCATGAACCCAATCGCTCTACACTCCAGACCCGTCACTCTTAATGATGAGACACCCAATAACCCTCTTCCTAGTGGTTGCATGAATTTCCCCACAAACAGTATTCATGATACCATCCCACAGCTCTCCCACCACTTAGCTCCACTTCTATCCATACCCATCCTCTCCAGCCTAACCCCTCAATCCTACATCCCTCTACATCACCAGGGACCCCAGGCTTTTTACCCAAACCCCTGTTACTTCTGCACCCTCCTTGTTATCTTGGAGTCATTTACCCCGTTACCACTGTCCTTGCTACATCACTTTCCCATAGAAGACTCAAGGGACCCTTTTGCCTTGGCTGTCATCACCAGCATTGTAATTGAAAACCCGTCTTTACTCCCCACCGCAAACCAACAGCCCATCAACCTCCTTTCTAGAGCCCGCCATATTCCTAACCTCCCCTCTCTCCTATCTCTCACTTAACCTCTCAAAATATATGCTCATGCTACTACCTCTTCCCTCGCACCTCCTCTTTCTAAACCTGAGATTTATTTCAACCTTACTTATAATCATTTATTTTAAAAATATTGTCAGAGCATATCTTTAGTGAAAAAGAAAAAACTCATTTACCATTTATATAAAACAGCCAATTTCCTCTGAACTTAGGGTTTTTGCATTTTTCATTCTCTTTATCTTAACCACAATTTCCCTCTCCAAACAATTCATATAGGATGCTTTCTCTCTACAAGTCCAGTGAAAACTAAGAAACCCCATGGCTGCTTAGAACCAAGAAGAGCTTCTCACCACTCATCCTGAGCAGTAAAAGATTGATGCTCAAGCTTCTTCTATATGCTATTCTTTTTACACCTTCATTTCTTTTTTGCTAGTGGACAAAAGGCTGCCGCTATTATATCATCTGCTAAAACCTTGTTTCTTTTCGTTACTGCCTGAAAAACATCCAAATGCAGGTAGGCTCTTATGGTGGGCTTCCATAGCGGCTACAATTTGGAATGAGAGAAACTGAAGAATCTTCCAAGGAATCAAGTGCGAAGCTCCAGCCCTCTTCCGTAAAATTATCTCCCAGGTCATCTTGTGGGCTTCTAACCACAAGGCATTCAAAGGCATTTCAGCTTCCACGTTCCTGCAAAATTGAGAAGAAGTCCTCCACTTCCAGTTTCCTCGAGCTGCACATGCTAATAACTGGTCCCCACCACCAGAAAGCAGTATTAAACTAAATTTCAACAGGTGCTCCCTTGGTAACCCCGGACCAGCAGGAGTGGGTGGGGTTTTCAGAGACCACCACGGCAATATCTTGGCCTCTTTTTCCAAGAACATTGACCACATCGATTCCCAGTTTGCCGAGTCCATGGAACTCCTCTCGGGACTCAAATTGTTCAACCACGAGTGGGGTCAACCAGTGATTGGTGAGGGAGACACCCAAAACATAATCACTTGGGCTGCTGGACTTGCTCCCCCTCCCTGGTATCTTGCTTCGATTTATGATGAGAAAATGCATGTTTCCAAGGATACAA